CCTCCCAGCCTAGCCGCAGATTCAGTAACCAAGCATAGGATTAGTCAATGTTCTTTATGTCTGGTCCAAAGGGTAAAGAATAGGTATGCTCCTATTTGGCACAATACAATTTGAACTGATTCAATTTATCCATTCACTTAAACTTCTTGACAAGGAGAATGATGCTTTCTTATATATTGAACTTCACATTAGAAACTTTATTAGTAGAATTAGTTAATTAAGAGTTTATTAAAATTATATTTTTATTTCAATTGCCTATTAGTGACAAATATGCAATTTGAACTATAGTGTCGTGATTAAGTATTGATTTTTTAAATCTTAGTTCGTAGCCTCTAATATTACTCTCTGTGGGATCGATATCCATGACTCCATTAGAGCTCTGTATTACTTGAGTGATACGTATATTTGCGTTGATAAGTGTGAATTTGCAATTATTGAATATTTTATAGACATCTTTATCAAATCTATAACCGCTGTCAAGTTTTTGACGTCGTTGTCGGGGATTTAAATCTTCTAGCAGCAGTATCAAATTCTTGTATTTTTAAGTATATATAAAGTCGCTGTCAAACATACAGTGTATTGAATGTCTCCAAAATAAGAGTCATAAACTCTCTTTTATATCTAGTAACACATTTATAATTTGTTATATATGCTCCACTATGATTTGTATCCCTCAATTAAAGGATGTACATATTATGTTATTTTTATTGATGCTTGTTCTCATTTATTTTAATGTGTACCGATGAAAAATAAATCTAAATTAACTTCTCACTTTATAACTCTACATAAATATATTAAAAATTGTTTTCATAAAAATATTAAATACGTTCGCACCGACAGTGGAGGTGAATATAAACCTAATTATCTTAACTCTTATCATCGAGAATATGGTATAATTCAACAATTTAGTTGGTCATACACCCCCAAATAAAATGGCTCTGATGAAGGAAAACAATATCTGCTAATTGAAACGACTTGCACTCTTCTCAACAAAGCATATCTTCCACCTAAATTTTGGCTTGAAGCTCTTATTATTGCTCATTACTTAATTAATTGTCTCCCTTCCCACAATATACAAAATAATTCACTATATCAACTTTTGCACAATAAACCCCAGTAATATAAACACCTTCGCACCTTTGGATGTGCTTGTTTTCCTTGGCATCCGCCCCTTGCACGACATAAATTTAGCCCTAAGGCTCCCACATGTGTTTTTCTCGGTTATGGTGCACATCACAAAATTTCTAAATGCCTTGATATTCTCAATCAAAAGTTTATTGTATTCAAGCATGCTAAATTTATTGAACATCAATTTCTTTATCAACATTCTATTGATAGACTTCTACTACCACACCATCATTTATTCATCCTCTATTTCTTACCCCATATCTCAAACTTATCATCTCCTCCCACCAATTCTCCTACCAATTCCTCTATCACCAATATCTTTACCCAACACTACCATTATCCCATTTCTACCTTCTACTACTCCTCTCAGCATATAATTTCCCTTCATTTTATTAATTCC